AAAGGCGAAGGACCTATACCCTTTAAATGTCACTTCAACTTAGAAAGTTTTATGTACATCTGCCTTATCCATCCACTTGCATACCGTTTCACCCCAAGAGGTACATAATGGATCATTAAATAATTAGGAGAATTAAGATTCAGAAAGGCTTCTGAAGTTCTTGTTTGTTTTTTAAAAGGACGTTTCAGAGAATGGGCTTGCTTGGCCTTCACAGCCACTATACTTACTATTTGCTATTTTTACAAGCCACACATCAATTTTTTCTTGCCAGAACACAAAAGCGATCTTCTGATTATTAAAACAAAGGAAGAAAGGTGTTTAAGATGTGTGAGGCGGGTGTTTATCAGGAAGTAGCACCAGGAAGAATACCTGTGGCCCAAAGAGCATGAGTTTGACTAGACCGGGTCAAAGGGAATAAATGATCCCCAGTTTGTTTTAACTTGCGCTATAAATCACCCAACGTTCCAGATCTGAAGGGAACGTGACAAGATTTTGTCACCATCAGTGATGATCACAATGGTTCTGAGGGCAGGTCTTAAACTTCTAGCCCTGAGTGCTGCAAAACCCACAATGAAAGAAGAAGAAAAAAACCCAAAAAGCCTCAAGTGTTAAAGTTAGATGTTTTCAAACATCTACGTATATAACCGAGCTTCTCTTTGGGAAGCATACATCCTTGCCCTAGAAACCTTTAAAATACGTTCTTAGTCAAACTTCTCACCAACACTGACATGGAAACAACTATACACGCACTGTTCAAGAGAAATATAAAGCAAACCACAAAGGTACTTTAAAATTGTCTCACAGCTACACTTAAAAAAGCAAAAAGCAACAGGCTAAATTAATTTTAATAATATATTTAACCTAATATATCAAAAATATCATTTCAAGATGTGCTCAATATAAAAATTAAAGACATATTTTACTAATTGTTGTACTATTTGCATAAAATAGTACAATTTTACTACTTGCACTATTCTTTATAATATTTTACACTAAATCTTTAAAACCCAGTGGGTACTTTGCACTTACAGCACACATCAATTTGGACTGGTCACATTTCAAGGGCTTAATGGTCACAGGTGGCTGCAGCCTACCAAACTGGATAGCACAGGTCTGTACCATCACAAATCTAGCGCAACAAGGCAAGACCAGAGTCTAATCCTCCAACTTTTTCTGCCAAAAAAAAGAAAAACGAAATGAAGTTCCCACTGTGAAAATGTTCTAGTGGGTTACACAATAAAAGGCCTACATTTTAGATAGAATCTTTTACATTTTAGTACAATTCTCTGCCCTTCCTCACCTCCCCTAGGTTCCAGCCTAGGTTCCGCTAGCATGAAGAGCTCTGTCAATCTATGAGAACAGAAAGCCAGGAAGCCTCATTGAGAGCTCTTCAGGCTCCGCCACAACCAAACCTTTTTTGCTTCCTCTCTCTATTTCTCAGAATTTCAGTTCACTTATCTCCTCTGCAAACTAACTTCCAAGGCAACTGGTAACAAAAGAGCTATCAGAATGCAAAAGTGTGAAGTCAAAACTGTCCTTTCTAGAAGCAACCTATGTGGGATTTCCCCAAATCATAAAATCAGACCATGGAAAACCCAGGCTTCCTCATAATCTAAGATGTTCCTACCGGTCCACACAATCTAGTAAGTTCACCAATAAAATTCTAAGAAGCAGAGAGACTGTGACCGTGGTTTTGTGAATGCAATTGTGTTTGAAGAAAATAATAATCCAATTTGAATTATTAACCTCCCTTCTCTCCCCTTTGTTTTCTATTTTAACAGATTCTTTGGATTTTTTTTTTTTTTTTTTTGGGGGGGGGACTGTGTCATCTTGAGGGAGAGTAAGGATGACCAACAGTTCTACCTTCTGCCCAGTTTACAGAGACCTGGAGCCATTCACATATTTTTTTTATTTAGTTTTCCTTGTTGGAATTATTGGGAGTTGTTTTGCAGCCTGGGCTTTCATACAGAAAAACACAAATCACAGGTGTGTAAGCATATACTTAATTAATTTGCTTACAGCCGATTTCCTGCTTACTCTGGCATTACCAGTAAAAATCATTGTCGACTTGGGCGTGGCACCCTGGAAGCTGAGGATATTCCACTGCCAAGTAACAGCCTGCCTCATCTACATTAATATGTACTTATCAATTATCTTCCTAGCATTTGTTAGCATTGATCGCTGTCTTCAGTTGACATACAGCTGCAAGATTTATCGAATACAAGAACCTGGATTTGCCAAAATGATATCGACTGTTGTATGGTTAATGGTCCTTCTTATAATGGTACCAAACATGGTAATTCCCATCAAAGACATGAAGGAAAAGCCCAACGTGGGTTGCGTGGAATTCAAAAAGGAGTTTGGAAGAAACTGGCATTTGCTGACAAATTTCATATGCATAGCAATATTCTTAAATTTCTCAGCCATCATCTTAATATCGAACTGCCTTGTCATTCGACAACTCTACAGAAACAAAGATAATGAAAATTATCCAAATGTGAAAAAAGCTCTCATCAAGATACTTTTGGTGACTACAGCCTACATCATATGTTTTGTTCCTTATCACATTGTCCGAATCCCATACACCCTCAGCCAGACAGAGGTCATATCTGACTGCTCCACCAGGATTTCACTTTTCAAAGCCAAAGAGGCCACACTGCTGCTGGCTGTGTCCAACCTGTGTTTTGATCCGATCCTGTACTATCACCTCTCAAAAGCTTTCCGCTTAAAGGTCACGGAGACGTTTGCTTCACGTAAGGAGACCAAGGCTCAGAAAGAAAAATCAAGTTGTGAAAACAATGCATAAAATATGGGATTTTCTCACGCTATCTTTTCCTGCCTTACTGGACAATTGAGTGTACAAAACTGCTGGGAAGGAGGGAAAAAAGAGCCTCCATAAGTAAAAACACAGGCAGCTAGCAAATGTGGCTTGGTTCACTGAGAAACCCTGTTTCTAAATGCAAGTCAAGCAGTACTCTTGTGGTTGTTGATGCTCCTTAACCCAAACGTTTGTACAAAAAACTAAAACGTCTTGTTGCACCAACATAAACGCTGCAATATCCTTGAAATCTAAATGACCTCTATGACACAGACTGAAGTATTCATGAGGTATTCATTTAAAGGCCTTGAACTGACTTCCTGATAGAAATATGCAAAATAATCTCCATATAAGTTTCCAGAAAGCCCTTCAGCAATACGATTTAAAGTCCTTTAGATCGCTTAAAAAAAAATTTAAAAAAAAGCCAGCTGACTTTTTACATGAAACCACCTGTGCTGTGCCTGATTTTGTTTTAATCCATCACTTCAAAAACGGTAACCTTTTGGGCTTCCCTGGTGGCGCAGTGGTTGGAGTCCGCCTGCCGATGCAGGGGACACGGGTTCGTGACCCGATCCGGGAAGATCCCACTGCCGCAGAGCGGCTGGGCCCGTGAGCCATGGCCGCTGGGCCTGCGCGTCCGGAGCCTGTGCTCCGCAACGGGAGGGGCCACGGCAGTGAGACGCCCGCATACCGCTAAAAAAAAAAAAAAAAAAAAAAAAAAAAAAAAAAAAAAAAAAAAAAAAAAAAAAAAAATGGTAACCTTTTAGCTCACTACTCCAATTTTTAATAGCTAATTGTTTCCTACCACAATAGCTTAAAATTCTTTTAAGCTTTTCTTTAAGCTTAATTTTAAAAGGCTTGGAAATACATGGATAGTTTTTAATGTATTATATGTCCTTATATTCTACCTGTAGGCTATAAATAAAGATTTTCTACTGTTAGTAATGACAAATCCAGTGATTTCTTAGTATTATTTTGTAGCAATATGAAATAGACCCCATAACATTTTCAAGGGGGGTTGTTAAATTATACGAACTGCTGAAACTACTGTTTTGGAACTCACATCAAAGGTTTGGGAAAATAGCACTAGTCACATGGTCTTAGAATAGACAGGCGGACACCACATAGCAAGGCCTTAGAAATGCAGCACGTGCTGGGCTGATGGGTGCCGGCCAGGTCCTGAAGATGAGTCTGACCCCATGTAGGGCCGGCAGTTTAAAGAATGGGTGACTCTACTCTCAGCGTCACAACCCACTGATCAAATTCTCTCAAATGCCAGTAATGCAGAAAGGATTCAATAGGTGGTAATAAATAAAATACTTATTTAGGGAAAAGAAGGCTGAAAAGTTTAGACAAGCATACCTAAGACTTTGTATCTTTTTTTTTGTTTCAGTTATAAAAGCCCACATTAAAACAATTGGTAATGCATTTGCATTAGCTGCAATGATTAAGAAATGGTATTCCTCAAACAAAAACAAACACAGAGAACAGAGTGGTGGTTACCAGAGGGGAAGGACTGCAACCCCCAGACCGAGGACTGTTACTGGTCCGCAGCCTGTCCGAACTGGGCCGCACAGCAGGAGGTGAGGGGCGGGCCGGCGAGCAAAGCTTCATCTGCCGCTCCCCAGCGCTCGCGTTACCGCCTGAGCCATTCCCCCACCCCATCCGTGGCAAAACTGTCTCCCATGAAACCGGTCCCTGGTGCCAGAAAGGTTGGGGACCGCGGCTGTAGTGGATATAGAAGTAGTCATATAACGTTGTACACGTGAAACATAATAATGTTATCAACCCACATTACCTCAATAAAAATAAATAAATGAATAAATGACCTCGAAGGATGGGGAAAGAAAAAAAAGAAAGAAAGAAATGGTGTTCCTGGAAGCTAACAAAACAAGTTTGATTCCAGACTCATATTTTAGCTCTGCACTGAGAACTATTTTCTGAAGCTTGAACCCTAAACACTACTCCTATCCACAATTTTACAATACATTCTCTGAGTTTGAATAGAACAGTAAAGGAGAAAATGCACAAAAAAGTGTCTCTTACACCTATAACAGGGTAGGTACTGGACAAACTCCAGCTAGCTAGTGCTAATGATAGGAACCCCAGTCGGCATCACATATCTAACACGGACAGGGTGTAAGTGACTCACCTGTGGTACAGGCTGGGAGAATGCCTAGACACTAGAACCTGTGCTTGTTGGCAATCTAAGAACATGTTTTTACTGATGAGCAGATCAAGACATTCATATACGACCATATATGAAACTAGTTTACTTTCCTGAATCTTTTGGTCAAGTCCCCTTTTAGTCTTCTCTCCTTGGCCTTCACTCACTAGAGCCACATTTGAGAGACAAAGGAGAGGAAAAAGAAAAAAAAAAATTTGTTTTTTTAATCATATTCTTATATTCTCCTCACATGCATGACTGGCTAGTCGAGTTTTCCCTTTTATTAAGGAAGAGAACCAGACTCACTACAGCATTCCTAACGTCACTGTTCTATTAATATATACTTTTATTTCCCCATTTTTGATGGCTTATTCTAAATTTCCCTCCCAGGAAAAGAGCTTCTGGACAACTGGTGAGAGAAGGCTGTTAAAAAATTGTACCCTACAACATCAGTTTTCTAGCAGTTCTTTTATGATTGCACATTACAGTTGAATTATGTCATAACTCATCGTGAGGCTTTATCGTCACATCATTCATGCTCTTTCCTCTAAGGAAGGGGACAGTCTTGAGAATGCTAAGTGCTGGGAACCACTGTGTCACCAAAGGTCACGCGAACAGCAGAGGAAAGGAGTCCATGCTTGGGCAGCCCCCTGCTCTCACACCCACACACGGGCGACGGGGACGTCCAAAGCGCTGCTCACCCAAGAGAAGAGCACAGAACTCTCAACCAATTTGAACCATTTTCAACTTTTTGCCATACTTCCTTTCCTTCATTTCCCCTGTCCATTTTTTTAAATAAACTTTTTATTTTGGAATAAAATTTAAAATTTACAGGAAAGGTATAAAGATAGTACAGAGAGTTCCCACATACTCTTCATCTAGTTTGTCCTAAAGCTAATGCCTTACATACCACGGTGCATTTGTCAAAACTAGGAAATTAACGCCGGTGCATTTTACTGTTAACTCCAGACTTCAGCATGGAGTCTTTTTGACTCTATTTTAAAACAAATCACAGACATCATGATAGTCCAGCCATGAATTCTTCAGGATACATCTCTAAAATATCACGCTACTCTTTTGGCTGCCCTAAATAAACTGTGAAGTTATTCCATTATATGGGAAATGAGTGATGCCTACAGGTAGCAGCTGAAAACTATTGATATATTCAGCCAGCGATGAACAAGAAAAAACTGTAGCTACTTTTGATATAGCCCCGGGCATAGAAAAATTAACAAGGGGTTCTCAATTGTAACAAGAAAAAAAATATATGGGTGTAGTGATTTTGAAAGTCATTTCGGAGAGTGTTCAAAAATAACCAAAAAATAAACAAATTTAAGAAAATATTTAGCCTAGAGATCAAAACCCCTCAAAGATATCCAGGAAATAACATAATATGTACCTCAAAATTACATTTTTTGTTAAAATAATAATAACAATAGTCTTCAATGAAAAAAAAAAAAGACTCACTGAAATTACACTTAAAATAAAACTCCAGGGGAAAAGATAGTGAACCTAAGAATAAAAAAAAAAAAAAAAAAATTTACAAATTTTGGCCCCATTTTCACTACAAATATCAAAAAAACTAGCTTGTTTCCCTTCAGAATAAAGCATATCACTTGTTATGACTCAAAACACTAAATTTCCTGGCAACTATTTTCCATATACTACCCAGTTCTTAAAGTCAACAGGTCAAAATCCAAGTCCATCTCATACACAGCCTCTTCTATGAAGCCATAACCGATTTCTCAACCAAATGCTCTCCCCGCTTCCAATATTTATTCTTTGAGAGTGGAAGAGACGCAGGAATGTCAAACGGTTCTCCTTCCAGTGGACACTTGGGTTTTTACTTAATTACTGCACTTATTTTGGCGCTCGTCATTTTATAGACATTTGTCTCCCTCCTGTCTTATTCATCTTTCCTGTGCCCACAAATCCTTACTCATCTGTATAATACCAAAAGTACCTACAACAATACAGTGCATAGAAGCTACTCAGTAAATGAGTTTCAAATTGAGGTAGGAAAACACATTCAAACATCATTTGCAGTGACTCAGACGCTCTTAATAAAAGGACATTAACACAGAAAATTCTGTTAAATCTAGCCAGCCAGTAGTAGTATCACACCACTAACTTGGACTACATGAGCACATAAGCTACATGATAAGAAGCAATAACAAAAGAATTAGTGAAAGCAAAAACTCACCTGCTATCGTACGTCGTACTCAGGCAAGTAGTTGAATAATCAATGGTCAATGACCCTGCAGTGAAATAATCAGGTTTTGCCAACTGACAAGCTGTGACTTACCAGAGGTATGGGAAAATGGGTTGCATACTGCAGATGTCGTAGGAGGTCATAATTAGATGGAAAAATTAACTCCCTTGGTTTTTCTCTCTTCAACAGCTTCTCACCGTTAACTGACATTCTTCTGCCCAGGGAAGGGTTAGCATTCTCACAGGACTCTCCAGGCACGGGAGAAAAAATCTAAGTCATGTAAAACAAATGTTGGAGATTGTAAATGAAAGAGAGCAAAACTAAAACACAGAATTTCAAACCCACAAGACACTCACACCATATCCTTTCCTTATTGAACCAATGAGCAAAATAACAGACTGTGTTAATTTGCACAAGTTTCATATTCAGATCATTAGCATCATCCCCCATCCTGAAGATGCGACAATGACAACCACACACGTAAGAAATGTGCACAGCTACATTTCCTGGAGGACCAGAGATAAAATCAGACTTATAGGTAAGTGTTCTCCTCATAGGGCTACATTTCCTAGAAAAACATATACACAGAAATAATTCACTAATAAAACTCATGAACAACAGTTCTAAAGGTTTTAGTCTGTACCCCAACCAACATGTGTTTTCATAAAGAGTTAGTTACACATTGAGATCCCTGAGGAAGAACACGTTGTAATTATACCGAGATAAAGTAGAAGAATGTATAACAAGTCCAGAGCCAGGAAAGTTGTTATTGAGAAGCTGAACACACATTCAGCAAATCAACATGGGCTGTCCTGATGAAACGACATTCATGTATTCCTGAGATAATCATCTCTAAATGAACAAAGGAGTCACAGTCAACCAGGAGGATGGGAGAGTTAGAATGTACAAAAGGAGGCAAGGCAGCCAAAACTGAGGATGAGGTGAAATGAGATAACTGCATGAGATGATTAACTGAGGCCTCAGGTGGAATGTGAGAGGATGACATTTACATCACAAGTACACAGTTCATTCCAGTGCACAGGGCAAGGGGCAGAAGGACAGAGACAGTGGGGGCAGAGGTGGGGAGGAGTGGTTAATGGTCAATAAGAATTTGAAGGTTGAACCTACTGGAAATTCCGAACCAAAGTCAGTTTTAAAGTCACTCTTGTCTACTTCATCAAAAATATTAGCAGTTCCTGAGTCAATGCCCATATGCGCCATAATAGCCTGTTCCTAATAATTGCCAGAGAAAGAAAGTCACGTTGTAAATTTTGTAGTTCATAAAGAAGCTGGAGTTAAAACATGACAGTGACATTTTAAACCATCTTATGTCCCTTTTCCCCCTAGTGTCTTTTTTTCTCAATAAAAAGAAAAGGAAGTTAAGACACCCATTGCTTTACAAAGTCACATTATTTGTCCTCATGATGAAAAAGATTTAACTTCCGTGATATTTTAAGGGAGAAAGGACACAAACTTCCTGATTAAAAACAAACTGGCCATAATTTCCTTCTTGGGGGTATTCCTAGCCACATGCTCACCAACTTGCTTCAGTAAGAAAAATCTAAGAGTATATTTAAGATAATAAGATACCTTGAAGTCCAAAAATAGAAAAGAGAAAACAGAAACATAGAAAAAGCATAAACAGGTAAAGTAACTTTATTTTTTACTCTTTTTAACTTCTACTGTGGACAAATTTAGAAACCAAAGTATTTACATTAAAGAAATAATTTTCAAAAATCTTAAGAGTACAAACTACAAATTCACATGTGCAATTTTAATTGCAGGTTTTTAAATTACAAGGATAGCCACTATTTTTAAAATATCATCATAGCATATGCTTAAACTCTCTCAGAACCAATATGAGGCTTTATTTTTAAAAAACTGTCACAATCTCTCACCATTTTCTACTATTTCCCATCACCAACTTCATGTATTTTGCCTCGAAAATTTCCATAAGTATCTGGGACAATGTCCAAAATACAAGACATTGGCAGAAAATTATAAAGTCACACAGTATAAAGTAATTTGTTAAAAAGAGCAATTCTGCAACATTTGAGAGAGATTAAATTTTAATTAATTGAAATGGAAATACGATGTGTTATGACAAAAACGTACGTATAAAAGAGTGATATAGGTAACGAATGATACATTGGAGAAAAGATGCTCCTTAGAATGAAAACAGACAGGATGTTAGGGCCAAAACAAGTCCAATTTTGAGGCTCCACATTAAAGGAAAACTGGAGATAAGAAATACGTAAAACTGGAAGAATATAATTCCAATCCAATGAAAAATGTGATAGATAGCCTGTCAAATCTTTTCATTACTAGTTTTAGCATATCCAAAAGAAAATTCTAGAAGATATAAACTACAGTCCAAATTTTTTGTGTGTGAGCGAGAAGCAGAGATAAGTGAGCTTTGAAGCAAGAAGAGTACAGCTGGAAACGATCGCCCTTCCACCACCACATAATCCCTCTGACAGCGGTTCCCCAGCAGAGTCTGGTTTCTGGGGGTGGAAGACCCCTCCCAGGGCCATACCTCCATCTTCACGTCATGGTCCTTTGCATAGTGCTCGTCTGCATTCTCTCCTGCTGGCGACCGGGGCCGAGTGGAGGCGGTGATGGACACGTCTCCTCGAGAGATGAGGGTGCACATGTAGGCGTCATGGGAGAAGACGTCGTGCCGGATGAACTCACAGAAGAGCAGCACCAGGTTCACAAATTCCACCTTCTCGCATTCACTGTCTGGATCCGCTGTAAAGAAACAAATTCAATCAAGAATCAGTTTCCTCAACTGGGTAGGGGATAAAAAAAAAAAAAAAAGACTAATTTTAACAATATTTTCACTACTTCTTTCTTTTTTTTTTTTTTTTAACAAAATAAGGGATTTATTGGAAAATTATGAGGCTCTAGCTTTTTGCACAGAACTGGCACACCAGGATTTTTGTTTGTTTTTCTGTTTTGTTTTAATTTTTTTTGTTTTATTTTTTTAACATCTTTATTGGAGTATAATCGCTTACATTGTTGTGTTAGTTGCTGCTGTATGACAAAGAAAATCAGCTATACGTATATATGTATATCCCCATATCCCCTCCCTCTTGAACCTCCCTCCCACCCTTCCTATCCCACCCCTCTGGGTGGTCACAGAGCACCGAGCTGATCTCCCTGTGCTATGCAGCTGCTTCCCACTAGCTATCTAGTTGACATTCGGTAGTGTATATATGTCAATGCTACTCTCTCACTTCATCCCAGCTTATACTTCCCCCTCCCCGTGTCCTCAAGTCCATTCTCTATGTCTACATCTTTATTCCTGTCCTGCCCCTAGGTTCTTCAGAACCTTTTTTTTTTTTTAAAGATTCCATATATATGTGTTAGCATATGGTATTTGTTTTTCTCTTTCTGACTTACTTCACTCTGTATGACAGACTCCAGGTCCATCCACCTCACTACAAATAACTCAATTTCATCTCTTTTTATGGCTGAGTAATATTCCATTGTATATGTGTGCCACATTTCTTTATCCATTCATCTGTCGATGGACACTTAGGTTGCTTCCGTGTCCTGGCTATTGTAAATAGTGCTGCAGTGAACATTGTGGTACATGACTCTTTTTGAATTATGGTTTTCTCAGGGTATATGCCCAGTAGTGGGATTGCTGGGTCGTATGGTAGTTCTATTTGTAGTTTTTTAAGGAACCTCCATACTGTTCTCTGTAGTGGCTGTATCAATTTACATTCCCACCAGCAGTGCAAGAGGGTTGGTTCCCTTTTCTCCACACCCTCTCCAGCATTTATTGTTTCTAGATTTTTTGATGATGGCCATTCTGACCAGAGTGAGGTGATACCTCATTGTAGTTTTGATTTGCATTTCTCTAATGATTAGTGATGTTGAGCATCCTTTCATGTGTTTGTTGGCAATCTGTATATCTTCTTTGGAGAAATGTCTATTTAGGTTTCTGCCAATTTTTGGATTGGGTTGTTTCTTTGATATTGAGCTGCATGAGCTGCTTGTATATTTGGGGGATAAATCCTTTGTCAGTTGCTTCATTTGCAAATATTTTCTCCCATTCTGAGGGCTGTCTTTTCGTCTTGTTTATGGTTTCCTTTTCTGTGGCACACCAGTTTTGCTTGTCCCACTGTAACTGAAAAATATCAATAGTATCCAGTGTTCTAAGCACCATTTCTAGATTAAAGGTACTGGTCCCTGGCAAATGAATGATGATCTAAGTAATCATGCAAACACACAAAATTTCAGGTAAGAAAAAAAAAAGCAGGGCTAGACTGCTTTCCTCTGGTTTTACTATTGTAACTGCTCATGATTCATGACTCATGACTGTTTGTTCTACCTAGGGTGCATCCGTGTTTTGGGGGAGAGTGGTTTGCACTTTTTCAAAGGAGACTTCACAATAGAACCATAATTCAGATGGTAGTGGAAAAAACTAGTGAGTGGGATCCACTGAAAAGAAAAAGGGATAATGGAATAAAAAGGGCCCCAAGACGGAGCTGTGCCATCTTTTTAAAGTCATAGCCAGTCTATTTCACTCACATTATGACTTCTAATATCGCAGCTGTAAAACTCTGTATCTGCACCTTTGAGAGAAGGTTAAAAAATGACTGAAGTACTGAGACTAAACCTACAAAGCTCAGTCCCTGGTACCATCACATTCACAAACACCAATAAAGACAACAGCTGGATCCAGGGGATACTACACTCAGTGCCCTAAACCTTAAGCCTAAGTGTATGCTCTCGCCCATCTTCAAAGCCAATGATGAGCAAGCTCGATTCAGAGAAGCAGAAGAGCTTTCTCTGACAGAGCGGTAAGTGGGATCCAGAGCAAGCAAGGCGTGGGAGGAGGAAGTTCTTCCCAAATTTCTTTGGCAACAGGAATGGGGACACGATGAGCGGAGCGAAGGGCAAATGTCTGTCTCCCCCAGGACACAAGGTAAGTCAGAGCTGCTGACTTCCATCCCTGACAATGTATTTTCTCCTCTCCGGAATCTCTCCTGTCCTTTCGTTTCTCTGCTCCCTTCTCCAGGCTTCATCACTGCTCCCTACATTCCGACCACCAGCTTGGCTGGGGCTCTTGTCCTCCCTCTAGCCTAGAGCAGCCACCAAGTAACTAAAAGAACCTCACCCCCGGGTGTCACTCAACCCTAAACAAGGCCCTCCTCAGAGGAATAGGAAGCAGTGCTGTTTCTTGCTGCTTTACCTCTTTCCTCTCCACAGATGGCTCCCTTCTCTACCTTCCACTCTTTTCTCTCCTATCATTTGTCACTTTTTGCCATTTTTCTGTTTTTCCATCACCATCTATCCTGAGACCCTCCCTGCTGTCCTTTGTCAGATGAAAACCTCAGAATAAGGTCAAGCCCACTTAGCTCACACAAATGATTTCTTTAAAGTTTCCACCTACAGTATGAACCCACTGGGTGGTTGTTTAGTCCCCAAATCCCCCTCTCCCCACCAACAATGGAATAAAGACACAAAAAGAACATGATAGGACATGAACATCCGAGAGAGTGTAGGCAAGCAGCCAACCATCTTTACAAACTAGTTCCTTGTATCAGAGACCTGCTTATAAGGTACTTCTGTTTTATTTTTTCCCCCTTTTAATGTCAGAAGTTAGAAAATCAAGAATTTAGAAAACAGTGCAAAAAGAGAAAGTTCATAATCACAATATATATATAATAAACATCACAGGACCTTAGCTCCTCTCTTTTGGTAAGAAAGGTCTAGAAAGGGAAAATTAGTCCAACAAACACAAGGGAATGAGCTGACTTATTGTTTTAACTATTAAAACTCTGGAAATTTTTAAGTCTTTCAAGATTGCCTGATTCTAAAATCGCATAAAAGTCTCCATCGAAAATAGGCTACAAAATTTTGTGTGGTAAAATATGCATTATATTCAGTACAAAGAACTTTTGATAAGATTACAGATAAGGGAGGGGGGGAGGGTTTTCTCCCCTTTCTGATCAACTTCAAAAAAAAAAAGGTCAATCCCCTTATTTAAGATCTAAAAGCAAAGAGCTTTACTTACACAATGAGGGGGCCTGTGTATCTAAAAACCTTAGCAGAACATTCTGGAAAACAGGCAAACTAGATCCAGCAAGAGAGGCTGAAGAAATGGACTCCTTCTCATCTAAGACCTCTGATTCACCACATCTCTAAGATTAAAAATAAACAGGCAAAGTTAATTATAGAGGACAAGTTTGAAATGTGTTTTTTATTAACATTTATGTTCTTGGATAAAACAGGCAAAATTCATTGAGATTTCTGTATTTATTTGAGGGCCATGCATCATAAGTGAATATAATTTCTAAAAGTTGAGGGAAACTGCCCCCGAACAATTTAAATGATTTCAAAGACACCTGTGAAAAACATTATTCATGTGAATTACATACTCTGCACAGCACAGTAAGAATATCTGCTGAATGTGTAATATAGTACAATAAACTACTCATTACCCCTATGCAAAACTGCTAAAAATAATTTGAGGTTGTTTTCATTTTTAAATAGTTCATGTTTAATGGTATTCCCTCCGAGAAATATTTGGGCATGTATTATTGTGCTTGATTCTTTTGTGTTTGTTTTTGTCAAGCAGTGCATTTATGAGTATGGTGGGGAGGTGTGGTATCAAATGAGAAAACTAACATTATTCTTCTAATAAGATTGCTTCACTCATCACACTTCACCAAGAAGCTCTCTCAGAACCTCCTGGAATCTCTATAGTTCATGAAACACATCTAGAGAAGCTGTTTAACGTCTACATTCTTAAGGTCAGGACTTGTTGGAAGACCGGTAAAGAAACAGTTTAGAAGCAATCAGAACCTCATTTTCTATTCTTTTTGAGATCCCTTTGATTCTTCCCATTTTCATTATCTATTTTAATATTAAAACATTATTATATTTAGATATGATTTATTCAATCCACTCTCTCTTTATAAAGGTCAAATTTTGAAAACTGATTAATAGAAATCAATAATTATCTTAAACATTTCAGAGAATACATTTTTAGCTATAAATACATTTACACCTATTAAAATTACTGTCATCTATATGTGAACCTCTTCTGAGTGTGTATATGTGTGTGTGAATGTGTTAGTGTGAGTGTGTGTGTGTGTGTGAACGTGCGTGTGTGTGTGTGTGTGTGTGTGTGTGTGTGTGTGAGTGGTGGGGGTGTGGGCGGTGTTCTGGGATACACAAGCGGGGAGGGGAAGACACAATAAAAACAATCCAGAAGGAGCAATGAAATTTGAGGAATTCAACTTTAGTTACTGAGGTTTAATCATTGCAATTCTCTGTAGAATATATTCTATTCATCAAGACGTAGGAAAAAAAGCAATGAAACGCTTTTCCTAACTTGGCCATTGTAAAAGGGGCCATGTGGTTTACACCTTAGCATCAATATCCCTAAGCCCCAATTTCAACGACATGGCCTTTTGTATTTGGCGAACAGTGCTTTCCCAACAGAAGGAGATGTCTATGAAAATATTCTTCCTATTTCATTTTTTAATACTGTCATAGGAAGCAGGTGTATTATCAGTAACACAACACTGAACAGGGTGAGCAAGGCCCCTGTTGTCAAGCTAACTCTCATAGGCGTTAAATAAGAAGGCAATAAGAGGGCACCAGGCATGAACTGAGAAGCCAATGCAGAAAGTAAAACAGAGCCACCTGAGAATGAGGGGCCGAGGGGTGGGTGCCGTTACCTGCACCTAAGGTGGGGATGGAGGAGCTTCCTGAGGAGGTGACACATGTTGAGCCAGGAATGCTAGACAGGAAGCGACACCTCCGGAAACAGGAGCGTCCATGTAAAGAGTGGGGCACCGAGCGTGACACCCGGGAGGAACAGCAAGAGCAAAGGCCCCGGGCTTCACGGATGGCGCAGTGGTTGAGAGTCCGCCTGCCAATGCGGGGGACGCAGGTTCGTGCCCCGGTCCGGGACGATCCCGCATGCCGCGGAGCGGCTGGGCCCGTGAGCCATGGCCGCTGAGCCTGCGCGTCCGGAGCCTGTGCTCCGCAACGGGAGAGGCCACAGCAGTGGGAGGCCCGCGTACCACAAAA